TTGCTATTCGTATTTCTTCATCCAAGAAGTGCATGTTCCTCTCAGATGCCCATTTTTGGATTGGGTCTTTGAAATTGAGGGACCTGATTTTTTTCAATTCTTTATATGTTCTAGATAGAAATTCTTTGAGGGACAGTTGGCTAAAAGTTTTTCCCACTCTGGGTTTTCTTTTCATTCTGTTGATTTCTTTGGGTGTGCAAACACTTTTTAATAAGATGGAAGTCCCTGTTGTTGATTCTTTGAAGTGCTTCCTGTGCAGTTTGGGTTTTGTTCATGAACTCTCTGCCTACCTAGAGAGAGTACTGAAAGATACTCTCCATGGAGATAAAAATGACCACAATTCCCAGAACAGCCCCAGAAAGTCGGTCCTCTTTAGGAAGTCGCTGTTAGGCTGCACAGAGGCTGGATGAGGAAGGCTGTTCCATGGGGTGGGTAGGGAGGACACAGAACCCAGGCAAACACCAGGCTAAGATTTACAGACCTTGGTCCCCTTCGGTGCAGGGAAGAAGTGGGGCGGCCTGGGATTGGAAAGCCTGCCCTTGTGTAATTATGGGGTCACACTAAAGCCAGACCCCTGGATGAAAGCTGCCCAGCACTCCCCACGGGACTTTGGGCAGCTTTCCTAGCTCTTCTCAGCCTGTTTTCCGAGCCTGTAAGTGTCCTATACCCTGGGCATGGTGGGAGCTGGATGGGTGAGCAGGTACTGTGTTCTTCAGCAGGAACTTGGGAGCTTCTGTTTCGCATCTGAATTGAAAAAGTAGTGGCATGTGGCTGGATGACACTTTGGTGAGCCCAGGGATGCTGCACTTTCCAGGGCCCTCCCTTCTCCCTTTGGCATAGGTACTGGTGACAGGGTGGCAGCTCTGTCTGGGTTTCTGGGGACAGCAATGAGAACATACATCACGGCCACAAAGCATGCAGCATGAGCAACAAACAAATCTGTCCAGGAAGGCCACTGTGACCTGGGGCAGTTTGTTCCTGCGGTGTGCTCCGAGCTGTGTTAATGAAGACAGCTGTAACCATGTCCCACTTGGTTGTGAGGGTCAAGTCATATATGTAAAATGCCTCACTCAGTGTCAGGTACATGGCAGGCGCCTGTTTGACTTGGCTTTGTTCCCAGCCAGAATTCCCTGCTGACGCTTTGCAACAAATGTCCATTCTTCTCGGCCTGATTTTGCAGGAGTTGACCCCTGGCCTCCTGTCTGTGCCTCCTTGGGAAGGAGGAGCTGCCTGCTGGGGTAAGGTACCGCCTCAGTTGTGACCAGCAGCTTGTAATGATCACTCCCATTCCCTGATGCCACACTGCAGCCGGCCTGGGCCTGGCCACAGAGAACAGAGCCGAAGGGGCTGTTTGTGCTTAGTGGTGCTGGCGTTGGCTGCATGTGCACAGAGGGCACTACCCCTTCCTGGCTCTGGCTACAGGCAGTTGGAGCCAGAGAGAGAGATCTGAGGACCATGACCTAAGAAGAGCAGGTGGGAACTGCGCTGTCCCACGTACATGTGCTACATCAGAGGCTGGAGAACAGGACGCGATTCTCCCCTTGTAGGGAGCAGGTTGAGATAGGGATTTGGGGACCACTTGAAGAAAAGACCTGTTTATTAGCAAGCCGTGTGTGAAGTAGGCATCTTCCCTGACCTCAGATCCTCCTTCATTCCTGTGTGGGAGATGGGGGGGAGGGCGGTGAGGCTGAGGCCAGAGGCGCCCCTTAGTGTGACTCCCGTGTCTTTGTCACACAGAAATCTTTGCACAATAAAAGGATGAAAAATAAAACCAAGATAAATAGTCATGCACAGTGAGAAACATGAATAGCTCTGGTCGCCACATTTTAAATAAAAACAGGGTACATACACCATTTTGAACCCAGGGCCTCATGCATGCTAAGCACACCCACTTCCACAGTGAGTTCCATCACCACCCCCAGCCCTGCACAGTTCTTTGAACAAATACGTACAAAGGGTTTTTGTTGTTTGGCTTGTTTTGAAAAATGACCATCAAAAATCAGAAGCATCTAGGGAGAGGACCCATTGTCTGATACTTCACTTGCATCTAGAATGATCTGTGGCTCTGGTTTACTCAGTGATAATACAGTGTCACTTCCTATTAACAGTGGGATTTTTCTGCCTGTGGCATGTGCTTAGCTTGCGATGCATTTGGAAGCCGCAGGGATGGATCCCCACTGCTCTGTGGGGCCCCTGCACTGGGCCTAGGCTCGTGAGGGCGGTATGTGATGAAATTAGGTGTGCTGTGTGTTTTAAGGCTTTGTCCTGGGCAGGCAAGGAAAGGGGGGTCCATTCTGTCCTACGGAAGGGGAGCTCTGCTGGCTCCATTCCGGGTGTTGGGGTCACATTAGTGAGCCCTGTGCATGCGTGGTTCCATCTTCCTGGGTATCCTGTGCAGTTGGGAAGATGGCACAAAACTGCATGGTATTGATCTGGACCTTGTAACCTCATCTGTGCCTTGGGTCTGGCTGCCTCGCTCGGATAAGCCGAGCCAGTGAGTAAATGAATGGCCACTGTTGCTGGAAGATTGGCCTAGAGGCAGCAGCCCGGAGGAAGTGGGACATGCTAAGGGACAGCCGAGCAGGTGCCCTGCTGCTCTCAGAACAGAGCAGTTTCGGCCCTGGAGGCTGGTGATGGTAGTGACCTGGCTGCCCGGGTGCCAACTGCTGGTATTGTTGCTGCGGGCTTAGTAAGGCACCAGTTAGCTCTGGGGCCCTGGGCTGCCCACCCAGTGTACCCTGGAGTGGTCACTCTGTTTGGGATTAGCCCTACAGTTCTGTATGTTTGAGCCTTGCTTTGTGCTGCCCCTCAGAGGGAGTCCCCCTAGGGACAGGCAGCCGGAGAAAACAATGGAGACAGGACCCAGGCCTAGCCCAGCAGCTCCACAGCCATCCACCTTAAGAGCCTGCACTGGGACCCCCACAGGGGACAGTTGGGGAGGGGAGCGTGCTGCACAAGGACACTGTCCAGGCCAGGAAGCCCAGGGTCCCCCTGTGGCTTTCCATGTCTTGTCACCAGCTGGCCCTGTGGGTAACCGGAGGAGCCCTAGGGAAAGGGCTCGCATCTGGGTCTCAGCCCTGCATCAGAGTCCTTCCTGGCCCTTGGCACTCTGAACCCTCCACGGGGCCTGCAGCTGGGAGCACAGTGATGAATGCTCGTACGGCCTGGCAGTGGCCTGGCAGTGTGAGTGTGGGGCTAAGTGGGGGTGAAGCCACTGGGGGAAGGGCATTTTGAGGAAGGCATCCAGTGGCACAGGGGGTGGAAGCTGGGGTTTAGCAATCACAGCAGGGTTTGAGGGAACATGTTGCAGGGTCTAGAATTCATGTTAGGCAATTTCCACCCGTCAGGAGCCAAGCCCTGGGTATGGCCTCCATATGGACTGTCCAGATCAGCGCAACCTCTCGGTCTGCATGATGCCACATCCCAGGGCCAGCTTGAAGGACATGCTTGGGAAACAATTGCCAACAAGTGAGGAAATTGTGGAGACTGGAGTGGGACAAGGGCTGTACTCAGCAGAAGAGGAAACAGAATGCGGGAGAGGAGAGTAGAAGAGAGGAGAGGTGGCTCAGGGCAATGGTAGAGTGGGCCCCATGTGTGTGCTTTGGCCCCATAGCCTCGTTGTGGTCCAGGCTTTGCAGTTCACCCAGCTCTGTCTCTGACCCCGAGTGCCGGGCTGAGCTGCAGGGCCAGACCAGGCCCCTCTGCCCCTGCTGAAGCCCAGGAGCATGGCCCTTGCCCTAGCAGCTCTCTAGATCATTAATTTGTAGTTTCGCTGGTTCTTCACCAGGGGAGAAGGGAGAGGAAAATGCAACTGGATGCTAATTTTTAACTTCACTGAAGCATGAAATCGCTTCCTTCCTTTACCAGATTAAGCTTAAATAGAAAATTGGCTTGGGGTGGGACATGGGAACAGTCATAATTGGAGAATTAAAAATGAAAAAGAGACCCCCCCCTCCCCCCATCTCATTACCAGCCAGGAGGAGGGCAGCACAGGTATTTTGGGCTCAGGACACTGAATGCAACTTGCTTGTGGCTATTGCTTCTTGCACGTGATTTCTTTGCATGTTGGTGGGAACTTCTTTTTGTAGCGCTGAACTGGGCCTTGCTAACACCTGGGCTTTGCAGGGCTTTGGAAATCCTCCAAGTCCAGTTCAGTTGCATTCAAACCAAAGGCAAAGCACTTGAGTTCCGCCGGTGGTGAACCTGTGTCTCATTGTTCAGACCTGGTGCTGAGTGCCAGGTCGCTGGGGCTGGCTGAGGAGGAGGCAGGAGAGCCACCTGCTGTGACCCAGGACCCTCAGCTGCCTGGAGGGCTGGTGGCTTGCAGTGCCTAGTCTTTGTGAAGCCTGTCTGGCCTGCTTCAGTGTTCATCATGCCCCACTGTATCCTGGGTGTCGGTTTCCACTGAGTGTGGATCACTGTCAGGGGCGCAGAGAGCTCCAGAGACCCCAGGATGTCATGTCACAGGGTCCAGAATTCATGTTAGGCCATGAGAGACCATGTCTATACCGAGCATTTCTCCCAGGGCAAGAGCTGCCTGGCTGCTGCAGCTGTCCACGGGTCCTTGCAAATGTGTTCACATGTCCCCACGGCAACCTGTAGGAATCAGGCTCCTTGGGTCAGGGGAGGCAGAGGCCAGCCTTCAGAGTTGGAGTCCCCTGGGCTCCGCTGACAGCCAGCTCCTGACAGATGCTTCCCCAGCATGGCCCTGAGGTGTGAAGGTGGCTGGGGGCCTTTGCTCCCAGGCTCAGGTCAGGGTGTCCTTTGCATGTGCTGCTCAGTATGGGAGGCAGTGGCAGCTCATCTCCAGGTGGAAAAATAGAGTCCCAATGCTGGTCCAGACAGAGCAAAAGCAATTTCTGCAGGGCAGGGTGAGACCCAGCCCCCTTGCCTGCATGTCTTTGGAGAGGTGGTGGAGGGTGTGGGGCAGAAGACTGGGCCCTAGGGGCTGATAGTTGGAGGTCGCCCACGCAAGACTTCCCTCTCATGTGTGTCCTTAGGTCCTGCACCATGTCGGTCAGCGTCCATGAGACCCGCAAGTCGCGGAGCAGCACGGGCTCCATGAACATCACCCTCTTCCACAAGGCCTCGCACCCGGACTCTGTGCTGGCCCAGCTCAACACATTGCGCAAGCAGCGCATGTTCACCGATGTCACGCTCTGGGCCGGGGACCGCGCCTTCCCCTGCCACCGTGCCGTGCTGGCTGCCTCCAGTCGCTACTTCGAGGCCATGTTCAGTCACGGCCTGCGGGAGAGCCGGGATGACACGGTCAACTTTCAGGACAACCTGCACCCCGAGGTGCTGGAGCTGCTGCTGGACTTTGCCTACTCCTCCCGCATCGCCATCAACGAGGAGAATGCCGAGTCGCTGCTGGAGGCCAGTGACATGCTGCAGTTCCACGATGTGCGGGACGCAGCTGCCGAGTTCCTGGAGAAGAACCTGAGTGCATCCAACTGCCTGGGCATGATGCTGCTGTCGGACGCTCACCAGTGTCGCCGGTTGCACCAGTTCTCCTGGCGCATGTGCCTGGAGCACTTTGAGACGGTGCGGCAGAGCGAGGACTTCAACAGCTTGTCCAAGGACACGCTGCTGGCCCTCATCTCCAGCGATGAGCTGGAGACCGAGGACGAGCGGGCTGTCTTCGAGGCTGTCCTGCAGTGGGTAAAGCACGACCTTGAGGGGCGCAGGGCCCACCTGCCCTTGCTCCTGCGCGGCGTGCGACTGGCCCTGTTGCCATCTGACTGCTTGAAGGAGGTGGTGTCCAGGGAGGCCCTCCTCACCGCCGATGAGTGCACCCGGCTCATTGTCGATGAAGCCCTGCGCTGCAAGGCCAGGATCCTGCAGAATGATGGTGTGGTCACCAGCCTCTGTGCTCGGCCCCGCAAGGCCGGCCACACGCTGCTCATCCTGGGCGGCCAGACCTTCATGTGTGACAAGATCTACCAGGTGGACCGAAAGGCCAAGGAGATCATCCCCAAGGCAGACCTGCCCAGTCCCCGGAAGGAGTTCAGCGCCTCAGCCATCGGCTGCAAGGTCTATGTGACGGGGGGCAGGGGCTCTGAGAACGGGGTGTCCAAGGATGTCTGGGTATACGACACAGGCCATGAGGAGTGGTCCAAGGCGGCACCCATGCTGATCGCCCGCTTTGGGCATGGCTCTGCCGAGCTGGAGAACTGTCTCTACGTGGTGGGAGGCCACACGTCCCTGGCAGGCGTCTTCCCGGCCTCCCCCTCCATCTCTCTGAAGCAGGTGGAGAAATACGACCCCGGGGCAAACAAGTGGACCATGGTGGCCCCCCTGAGGGATGGTGTCAGCAATGCCGCCGTGGTGAGCGCCAAGCTGAAGCTCTTCGTTTTTGGCGGAACCAGTATCCACCGAGACATGGCATCCAAAGTCCAGTGCTATGACCCCGCTGAGAACTGGTGGACCATCATGGCCGAGTGCCCCCAGCCTTGGCGGTACACAGCCGCCGCAGCCCTGGGCAGCCAGATCTTCATCATGGGGGGTGACACGGAGTTCACAGCCGCTTCCGCCTACCGCTTCGACTGTGAGACCAGTCAGTGGACTCGGATTGGGGACATGACTGCCAAGCGCATGTCCTGCCACGCGCTGGCTTCGGGCAACAAACTCTACGTGGTGGGGGGGTACTTTGGGACCCAGAGGTGTAAGACCCTGGACTGCTATGACCCCACCTCAGACACGTGGAACTGCATCACCACCGTGCCCTACTCGCTCATCCCCACGGCCTTCGTCAGCACCTGGAAGCACCTGCCGGCGTGAGGACACCTGCAGAGCCAGCCAGGTGAGCCCAGTGTGGTCCCCACTCTGGTCCATGGTTGCTGTGTCTCCTGTGAAGGCCAGGTGAGCAGCAGGTGGCTGGGGCTCGGGGACAGGCAGTCCGCCTCTCCTGGGGCAGCCTCATGCTTGCCAGCACCCAAAGGGCCCGCTGCCGCCTGTGCCTGGGTGACGGGAGAGCCATCCCTCCTCTGTCCCTCCGAGCAGGGCGGGCAGCGGAGCAGGCACCTGTGGATCCCCGCTGGCGCTCCTTGTTCTTAGCACTATGCTTGTGTGGAGTCGCAGGGAAACAAGCACAAGTGACAGTAGGTGGAGAGAGCCAGGTGACCCAGTAGGTGCTTCTGGGGTGAAGGGAGGCAGCAGCAGGCACTTAGGCCAGGTCTGGCATGGGCAAAGAGTCTGGCCAAGGTCGCCTGTGGTCCTGCCACCTCTAAGGGCAGGCAGGGTCCCCTGTAGCTAGCGAGGCCGGGCCCATGGTCCAGTACTGTGGCCGGAAGGAAACTGTGTGTGCCAATCTGGGGGGGGGGGGCACTTAGGGCTGGTGCGGGTGGTGGCTTTGTAGGCACCAGAGAGGCTGTGTGTACTAGACATAGTGTTTGTGTCACGTGACCCCAGACTTGTCATGACAAGGCTGCATCCCAGCTCAGAGCCTTCCTCCCAGAGCCCTCCAGCCGGAGATGGGATGCATGGTGCCCCGAGGTAAGCACCGTGTGGTGGGCTCAGGGGTTGGTCCCAGTAGACAGGGGCTTGGTTCTTTTCAAGGCATATCTGGTTTGTTTTGCTGTGCTGTGCTCTTTCTCTTGGGGAGGAAAATCTGTCCCTGCCGGTTTCTCGGCTGTCTGGGGTGAGCTGCAGAGAGGACATCCATGTTTCCTGGTGTTTCCTCAGGAGTGACCCTCCCCTACAGGTCCTTAGGAGCCACGGCTGCCACCTGCCTTGTACAGGGCAGGGCCTCCGGGCACTGCCTGGGATCCTGAGTGCAGTCCCGTCTCAGTTGTGGGAGAGGCCTGTAGCCCTCTGACCTCAGGGATTTCCTCGAGGTCAGGCACCTGGGAAGGGAGCATTGCCTCTTGGCTCTGATGCTTCTGTTTCCTTGACCCCAGACAGGGTGTTTAACCCTGGCTCAGCACCCACTTGGAAAATGGGTGGCGAATGCGTTATTCACAGTACTTGACCAGTGAGCAAATGAAGTGTGGGCTTCAGAGTCTACCATTGTAAGGGGGTGGATGGTGACGGTAACAGCATCATGTTGCCTTGGGCTGCAGGGCCTCTCCATGTCCCCAGCAAGTCCCCAGAGGTATGAGGTGTCCTTCAGCCTCAGGTGTCACAGGCTTGTATTCCTCTGTCCTCCCCTGTCATGGGCACAGAGAGGCCAGCCACACAAGATAAGCTGTGCCTGAGTCCCCTGGGCAGCCGAAGCAGGGCTCTAACCTCCCGGAGTGAGTCTCCAGGTGGCCAGTGTCTGTCCTGGGCTTCCGCCTGTCTTTCCTGTGGGCCCAGCAGCATCTGGAGACCTCCTTCCAGCCCCTCATTGGCCTAGGGCACCTGTCCCCTGGCTTCCGTCCCCAAAGGCTTTCTGCTGAGCTCGGAGCGTTCCTCAAAGGCAGGAGAAGCTGTGCTCTCAGCTGAAGGCCCCAGTGTGTCCAGGCACTCCTGCCAGGGCTTGGGTGCTCTCAGGATGAGGGCCCTGGTGAGACGTGTTGGGAGCATTTCCATACCTGGCGTTCCTGTGCTGAGGGTGTCCTGTTCGTCCACTGGGGTACACATTTCAGAGCCACCAGCTGAAGTTCCTGAGCTCTGCAGCTGTCCACACCCCCTCCGGGAGACCCTCACGTGTTTTCCCTGTCCCGGTGCCTGTTCTGTGCTCTTGGTGGCGGCTGCCTGGACCCCGAGTGCTCTGGTTGTCCCCTGTCTTCCCAGGGTCCTCATTGTAGCTGCTGCTCCCACAGGACAGCAGGCACCCCCAGCATGGAGTGGCCCCCCAGCCACGGGGCGGTGGATGGCTGTGTGGAAACAGGGTGTCAGCAGAACATCCAGGGCCATCAGTCAGGTCCATGTCCCTAGGGCACTGCAGCTAGTGGTGACAAGGGGATGCGGGAGCTGGTGTGTGTGCCATCTGTCTCGGTCACTCCCTGGGGTGGGATTGCTGTGGGCATCTCTTTTCCCTTTTTCTGTCCACTGCCTGGCCTGGTAGATGGGACCTCTAGGTTTGGGAATCTCAACATGACCCAGTTATCACCTGCAAGAAGCCCCAGGAAGCTGGGGGCCCTCACGGCCCTTAGGACAGCAGTGTGCATGGGGTACCCCCTCCCATGAAGGAAGATAGTCCTCAGGCCCCAGTGTCGGCTGAAGTTTTTATTGCAACGTTATACATATGGAACCCAATAAAAGTCTTTGTGGTTTTAATAAACAGCAATAAGTGAGCACAGATGTGCAGGCTAAATACAGCCAAACCCCTGCACCCCCAGACCACCGGCATTGCCGAGGTTTTGCTGAGGCAGCACTGCCTCTGCCACTGGGAATGAGTGGGTGCTTGCACAGGGGAACTGTGCCCCAGTACCAGAGCCTTTGGAGCCCCGCAAGTGCAGCACAGTGCTGGTCTTCCCTGCAGACACAGCGCTGCTGTAGGGCGGCCTGGAGCCCAGGGCGCGGACCACAGTGTGTACGTGCAGGCACACAGGGGTCCCGCAGTGCCCAAGTCCCTCTTGTCCTGAGCCTGCCAGGTCCCCGAATGGGGTCATCTGAGGTCAGCCGAGGGATCCCTTCCCGGACTGGCATCTCTGGCCACATTTGCCCTTCGGAGAGCCGGACTCAGGCCTGGAAACAGCCACACCGTGCTCTCCACACAGCCTTTCATGCGACCTAGGCCCTCCTGCAGGAGGCCAGTGACCATCACCCTCACCTGCAGCAGGAGCAAGCAGCCTAGGTATGGGAGCCTGGTAACCACAAGGTGGCCTGAGTGTCCTTGCGTCCCCAGCCCATCAGGGCTGCTGCCTGGCATTGGGATGCAGTCAGTGTTATGGGCACAGGTGGGCATCTGGCTACTGTCACCACCCAGCCCATCGCCTGTCTACTCTCACAGCATGGCCAGCCTTGTGCCTGCCTTTCCACCTGCGAGCCCACCTCCCCCCGGCACCAGCCCACGATTATTTGGATTTTCAGATGTCTGCCCGGTCCGCTGTGCCCTCCCCAGCTGACTCCCACTCACCCTTCAGGTCTCCGGAGATGCTGTTGCCCTCGGCACTGTGCTGAGGCACAGTCACAGCCCTGGCTCTGAGCCCGCTGTGTGGGATTCGTTTGTAGCGCTTCTCCTGAGGTGCAATCATACCGCGTAATTATTCCTGCAAGTCTGCAGTTTCTGTGCTGGGAGGACAATGAGTGGGGTCAGTGGCAGTGTCTGTGTACCCTGAGGTGTCCCCAGGGCCTGCCAGGGTGAGGTGTGTGGGGATTGTGGTAGGAGCAGTGTGGCCCGGGGAGCAGTGCCCACCTTGCAGGAGGAAACCGTGCTCGGGTTGCTGTGTGTGCCTTGATGCTGCCTGACATGTGGCCTCTTTGTCCTGTCATTGTGTCACAGAGCAAGCAGGCTGGGCGCTCATGCCTTCTCTCCCTCTCTCTGTAGCCGCTGCATCTCTCCCAGGCCCTCGGCCCGCGCTGACCCAGAGCGTCTGGCTCTGCCTGCCCGGTGGAAGCTCGGCCACCCTGTGACCTCGCCAGCGCTCAAGCCGACTGCTCCAGCTCTGGTGGTGGATGCCTCAGCTGTCCTGCGCTTTAGACAAGAGGAGCAAAGCTGTGTCCCTCATCCTGTGCCGGGGTGCCTCTCCAGCTTCACGTGTTGTGCACAGGGCAAGGCTGAGAGGGCCGTGGGCCGCCAGCAGAAGTGGGTTCCGGGCCTCAGGGAGGAACGTGTGCAGAGCCTGAGGTTGCCTGGGTCCTCCAGCACGGGACCAGGGCTGGGGGCAGAGCAGAGGGGTCTGGGTAGGCTAGGCGCAGGAGGGGGGCATGACTTGGCCCTGGCATACAGTCTCTGACTCAGGGCTCCCCTGTGGGAGGTCACCTGACAGTCAGGGTCTGGGCCTCAGGGAAGGAAGCAGCATCTATCAGACTGAGTACCAAAGGTCATTGAGGAGAAAACAGGACAGATTTGGGGGCAACTACACGAATTATTAGCCAATGTACCCAGAGCCCCAAGCCACAGAGCAGGTCTGGATGCCCAAAGCCCAGCCCAACCTGTAGAGGACCAAGTTCTAGGGTGCTGCATCAGGTGGGCTGATGTCCTGCACAGGGACGTGGGCTGGGGCCAGTTGACAGAACTGAACCTCTGGGGAGCGCTCAGAGCCCACCCTGTGGGGCAGTGATGACCTTGTCTCCTAAGAGCATCACACTTCGAGCAGCACTGGGGCTCCATCCTGGAAGACCACACCACGCTCCAGGACAGGGCAGCTCTGAGCTGGGACAGAGGGGCCTTGGATGGAGTTGTCCTAGAGAGGGGGACAGAGGACAGTGCCCGAAGTCCTCCCTGCTGCCCTGGCCTTTAGCTGGTAGCACTGGCTCCTGCTTTGCTTTGTTTCCAGAGCTCAAAAAGTAATAGAAGTCCCAAAAGGGTGTCCAAGCATTTGCCCATCGCCATCTCCTCTGGCATCTTGGGCTTCCTTGTTGAGGTGACCCCAGCATCCAGGTCACCTTGTGCATTCACCTGTCAGTCGGTACCTCATACCTGGGGAGAAGCCCCAGCTCACCCCTCATTCTTCCTGCCCTCTGAGGGGCTTCTGGGTCCCCTGAAGTGGGTGGAGCTGCCTGCTGGCCCAGCACCAGGGCTGTGGCCTGGGCTGCACTGTTTTACTAGAGATCCGGGCCCACAGTATGAACCAGTGACTTCCTTAGCCACCGCTGTCCCTACCCTGGGTTGCTGCTGATTGCACCAGCCTTGTGGGTGTCTGGTGGGGAGAAGAGAGGCCGGTCCTGGGCCTGGGCCTGCTGAAGGAGCACTGCTGCTGTCACCGCCACCGTGTCCCCGTCAGAGGCTGCCGAGATGCTGCAGCCCGCAGGAGGCGGCCGCTGCATGGATGCTCAGTTGGGATGAGCACACTTGGCACAACACGAAGGCCTGGCTCTGGTGCTTTCCCCAAGCTGTGCGGCTCTTAGCAGGTTTTCTAATTTAATAAAAAGAGTTGAGCAAACCCTTGGCCTGCCTTGGTTGTTGGGGCCAGTTTGGCCAGGGCTGCATGGTGGTGTGGGGGACCCCAAGGACAGGAGGGCATCCCCTTGGTCCTTGTGTTTTAGCCCTAGCAGCTTTCCAGGAGCTTTAATCCTGGGCCTGCCTCCCGCTTCCGAGCACCCCACGGATGAGGATGAATGTTGGGTGAAGTGCGGTTCCGTCAGTTTCATCAGTGTCTGCAGACACCACGGAATCGGGTGGTGGGCCCCTGACTGGCAGATCTGTGCACAGTGCCCCCGCCATTCGTCATTCGGATTGGCCCCTGCGCTTCAGGTAGTAGTGTCTGGTTTCAGAGCCTGTGGCCTCATGGTTGCTGGCGTGCCCCTGCTGGCTGCTCTTGCTTCTCAGACACAGCCACAGCTCAAGCACAGCTGGGTGGTGAGAGTTCTGATCCTGGCGCTCAGGGGGAGCCTAAGGAGGTGGTGCCAGCCCGAGGGCCTCTGGGAGAGCCTAGCTGTGTGCTGGGATCCTCAGGTGTGACCTGCCTCCTCAGGGCCTGGGTGGTGGGCTCTCATCTCTGGTGGTCCTCGGGTCAGAAAGCCCATAAACTGCACCCAGGGCCCTGGCTGGGCAGAAGTGCTTCAGGTGCTGGAGGGCACCTGAATGATGTCACCTTGCTGTGAAATTGAACAGTCTTGGGGTGAACGGGGGTGTCTCAGGTCCGGGCAGCAGAAGCCGGGGTTGGCTTGCAGTTAGACTGCTGTGAACAAACGTCCCCAACAGCAAGAAGACGTGGCCTCCTGAGCTGTGGGCAACCCAGGGTCTGCCCTGCTGGCCTTGCCGTGCTCCTCCCATCTGTCTTCATTCCACCAGTGGAGAAGGGGGAGGAGTGGCTGCCAAGGACCTTTAAGGGCATCGCTCAGAATTTGCACACTTCTGCACCCTCGTTGGTGGCACTAGGACTCAGTGCCACCAACATGTGACCCCCAGGGAAGCAGCAAAGAGCCCAGCTAAAACTCCAGAAGGGGTACTGGGAGCAGAAACAGCCCCTGCCTCACACACTTGGCTGGGCAGGGAGGAGCCTACTCGCCCTGACCGGGAGCTAGTGAGGCTGGCCGCCCCTTCAAGAGCATGGTTCTGTGCACAGAGCATCTGTTCAGCCTCAGGATGTGCTGCCCACCGGCTAGGGCTTTGCTGCCTTAACTCTCATAGTGACATTCTCGACCTGCAGCTGTGGCTGCACTGACTGGGTGAGTTCGTGGCCATGGAAGGAGGTGCCATGGTGGTGCCAGCAGGAAGTGGCCAGCCGTGGGTCTGAGCTCTCAAATAGCCGCAGCAGCTTCTCTGATTTAAGCTAGATGGTGGCAGGATCAACAGGTGTGGAGGGGAGCTTCTATGAAGCACAAACAGCCCAGCCTCTGGCCTGCCCTGGAGCTGCGGGAGCGGCTAGTGGGCAGAAGGGCAGCCTGTTCACCCGTCCTGAGGGAGGCCTGCAGCGTGGCCCTCGCCGGCCGTACTGCACACTGCACCAGCAAGGGGCTGTGGAGGGCACCAGGAGCCTCACTGCCATTGGTGTGGAGCCATTTCCAGGGGACTAGGGTCCCCAGGGGGCTGGCGGCGCTATCCTGGATTAGGAGTAGGATACAGGAACAAGAACAGCCCATCTCCAGCCCTCAGAGTCCTATGGTGCTACCCGAGGACACCGCGGTTCCCAGAAAGGAAATGTGGCAGGTGGCCTCGTGACTGTTGCTCAGCCAGGACTCCCCCCATCATGGAGCTGGCAGACCCAGATGCACCATCCCGGGTGAGAACGAAGGAACTTCGAAAGCAATTGTCCTTAACGAGCCTACGCAGCGGCTTGGAAAGCGCCTTTGCTTTTTCCGGGGGGAGCATCTGTGGGTCCTTCGCTCTGGAAACTTCCACGTCCACCCCAGCAGCCCCGCCGGTCCATGACCGGCCCCGGCCCTGCCCAGACACACTTGGCTCCTGGACCCGCCCTTGGCCACCGCCCTAGGCTCCAGCCTGGCCCTGGCCCCCGCCGGCTCCGCCCCAGCCCCAGCCCCATTCGCTGGCCCCGCCCTGGCCCCGCCCATCCGTTGGCCCCGCCCCGGCCCGGCCCCGCCCCGCCGCGTGGCCGCGGCAGGTGACCCCAGGTTGCTCCCGCGTGCGCTCCGGGACACGCGGGATCTGGCGACCTCCTGCCCCCCCCCAACGCCGTGGGCAGGCGGGGGGTGTTCGGGGGTGTCGTGTCGGGCAAGTGCGCTCGGTGAAAACTCGGCTTGTGAAAGCGCACGCGGAGTGCTTACTGCCTGGTGCCCGCCGGCGGGGAGCGGGACGGCGACACCTCCAACTCAGACCTGCAGCGGCCGGGTGGGTGAGAGGGTCCCAGCCCTGCACGGAGTCACTGGTCTCCAGCAGCCCGGCCCAGCAGGAAGTCCTCTTTCTTTTTTGGGGGAGCGAGGGGACGTGGGGAATCGAACTCAGGACCTTGGCCTTGCGAGCAGGCGCTTCACCGCTGAGCTGCGCCCCGGCCTGAAAGGCCTCTTTCTGAGACGGTTTCTGTCGGACCAGAACAAGACAGATTCCAGCCTTGAGGGGCGACTGAGGGACTTGGCTAAGAAAACGCGCCTTTCTTGCCAGGAGAAGCTGTTGTGGGGCGGGCGTAGGTCGGGGAGTGTGGGCACGGTGTGGGCTGCCCCTCCTCGGTCACCTCAGCCCAGGCTTGGTGACACCTCGGTCGTTAGGTTGCTGAGCCTGGCCCCGAGCATGCAGGGAATTTGGGCCCCACTCTGAGCCGTCCCAGTGCCCCCTCCAGGGTCCAGCCAGGCCCTGTGTGCCTGCGAGCCTGCCCCCTGGGACCAGGAGCCAGAGCGTGGACAGCAGGTCCCCAGGGCAGGGCCTGTTGCCCCAGCAGCACCCTCATGGCCCAGTCACCTCTCAAAGGCCCCTCCTGTTGAGGACCATAAATTCACTGTGGCTCATTTTGCATACTTCCCTGTGGGGTCAAGTGGGGTCTGGGGTTACCAGCACCACCTACTCGAGATTTCCCAGTGACCCTTCTCTTTTTTTTTGTCTTTTTCATTTTTATCGGTACCAGGGATCGAACTCACGACCGCCTGCTTGCAAGGCAGGCGCTTATGCCGCTGAGCTAAATCCCCAGCCCCCCAGTGACCCTTCTTACCTTACGATCATCTCCACCCTTTGGAACTGGGTGTTCTGCAGAATCACCGGCCCTTGCAGGCCCCACCTGTCCCTGTATGCACCTAGCAAACAGTGGCTGGAGTGGAGGAGGACGGACAGACGCAAGTGACCTCCCAGCCATGATGCAGTACTATAGTGGCCTCTGTCTTTTATTTTTTCACCAAAATCTTAAGACAGACAATCAGGACTCTTGGCCGGGCTCCCCATACCTGCTAATGCCATCACATAGGCATCCATCTATAGATGCAGGGGCCCTGTTAACACTGCAGCCCAGAGCCCCCACCACCGTGTGTCAGGTCCCGTACCGTCCACGTGTTACACATTTGTGCTCACGGTGATGCTTTAAGGTCGGACTTGGAGCTGACGTGTTGAAAAGGGGCTGCAACTGAAACAGAGTCTCGGGCCCTGAACCTAGGCTGTGTGGCCCCCTTTGGGACGTGCTCAGTGCCTGAGTCACGGGTTAAGCTGGGTGACTTTGCTTCCTTTCTTCAGCTGAGGGGAGGGGGGGGGGGTCCAGATGCCCTCGGGTTGTGTGATCAGTGAGGCAGTCTAATACACAGTGGCCAACAGGCTCTGCACAGTTGGCTGACCTTTCCCCGGTGACAGGCCCTGTGATCTTATCACATCTTGGGAGGTCCCCTCATTCACCGCGCTCCGGGTAGACTTGTGCCTGCTCCTCTGCTCAGGCCCCAGGGGTGCTGTCCTTGGCCTCAGGGGGACCAAAACAGGAGAGACGACTTCCTGGCAGTCCCCCTTGTGTGGGGCGCTATGGGGCTGGAGCCACAGGAGAGCAGGAGGGCAGCCCGTCTGGGTGGTGGCCCTGAGGCCAGTGGAGGCCCTGGGGCTAAAGCCACAGTGCCCTCGGTGCCAGACGCTTCAGACACAGGCTTCAGGTGCGCCCCGCTCCTGTCTAGCTGGCAGTGGGGTCCCCTGAACAGAGAGGGGAGGGCGACGCGTGCTCTTCCTTCCTCTGCCCGGTGAGATTTGAGATGAGAACGGAAGTGGCCCCAGGAAGTCGGGCCAGCTGAGTGTGGCTGTGACTGGCTGACCAGGGGCGCCAGGCGGGCTGGTCTCCGGTCCCTCCCTGAGACCCGCACAGGCGGTGTCCCTGCCGCCCCCTCCCCTCTGCCCGCGCTGCGCCCTGCTGGGGCCAGGCGGGAGCCCACCGGCTGTGTGCTGGGCCTGGCTGGGCGTGGCAGGGCCGGCAGGAGGAACCTGCTCCCCTTCCTCTTCCAAGTGCTCGTTTGTTTAACAGCACTGCTGCTGCTGCTGCTGCCGTGGGGACTGAGTAGGATGAGGAGGTCGTGAGGTTTCCGTTCCAGAGCTGACCTCCTTTGCCCCTGGAGGTCCCGACTGAGGGAGGGGGTGTTATCCGAACAGCACCAGCACAGATCTTTCCCTTCAGTGAGCTCAGAGATATCAGGAGTATATCTTAGCTATTTTTTTATATACATATGCATGCTTTTTTTTTTTTTTTTTTGTCTTTTTCCTTTTTATCGGTACCGGGGATCGAACTCACGACTGCCTGCTTGCAAGGCAGGCGCTTATGCTGCTGAGCTAAATCCCCAGCCCCCTGCATGCTTTTTCTTTCAGCTTGTCACACTAATAAAACAATATGATGTTTACATGTGTGTCTTATAATTTCACTGAGTAATTCTTAAGTTGCATTCATTTACCTATAAAAATGTCCAGTTTATCCTTCTTTATGTCTGAGTAGTACTCCAATGTATAAAAATACCACATCTTTTTTATCTATTCCTCAGTGGATGGGCATTCAGGTTGTTTCCAAGATCTGGCTATTACATACTGTGCTGCTATAAA